TAATAATAATAATAATAATAATAATAATAATAATGATGACAGAAGATAGTATTTGCAGAGCGCAAATTCCCGCTGAGCAGCAGCCATGAGCGCTTTACTAGATCTATTCTGTAATATTGTTAATGTTACCCCGGCAGATGAAAACCAGAACAGAAGCAGCACGTCTCACCACAACGCTACATGACTACATGACTACATGACTAATGCCTACATGACTACATGACTACATGACTACATGACTACATGCCTACATGACTACATGACTACATGCACGTTGAAGTTTAAGCCATGTAATGTAGTGATGCGGGGAGGGGGAGTATTATTTATTTTATTAATCTATAATAACACTTTTGAAGGTAATGAATAGGTATTACTATTATTACTGCGTGGCGGGTGACTTACAACATAGTGTATGAATAAAGGGGTTCAAGCTCAACAACTCATAAAACTTAAATGTTCATTTTAATAAGAAGAGACGGAGCCGTTAAATATTGAAATATATTCCGACTTTAAAAGATAATTTCAGCCTCGTCTCTATATACCTTCCCTAAAACCCAAGGTGCTTCGGCTACAAAATGCTTAAATCTTTTGACCGCACGACAAAGAAAACGTAGAGAATATTGTTATGGTGCCGACACCTTGTCTTTCAACAGCGATTTCCTGTGTAGATTGAGTTATAAATATTATATTATAAAATAATATATTGTAAATTCATGTAATACGTCGCACTGTTAGATCACCCTAGACATACTATTGTATAATTTAGGTAGTTAAAAAGCCTACGGTAAACTCACTCGCAGTCTTAAAATAAGGCACAGAGTAGATTCGTGGAAGATAACCAAGGACATCATTATTTCCACCTTTGAATAAGAAACGATCCAGAATGGATTTCTGTTCCCATTGCTTGCTCGACGTATAATAATATTTTTGATAATTATGGTTGCTCCCACATTTGTACAAACGTGCATATAGTCCTCTCTCCATCCCCCCCCCCTCTCTCTCTCTCTCTGTCTCTCTCTCTCTTTCTCTCTCTCTCTCTCTCTCTCTCTCTCTCTCTC